AAACTTTACTCTGACCGACACTTGTGTTGGTTTTAATCTCTGAAAGGCAGACAAATTGCTGTGGTTTGCGCGCGTTTTGTCCTCTATTTCAGGAACAATATGAGGTGCTTGAATCAGCGTTCAATTTTTGTTGCGACCTGCTGAATGGGTTTGGTTAGTGATTCAAAACTCGAAGTTTTGCATAAGAAAAAAATTATTTCTTATCTATGTTTACATACTGGCGTTTAGAGCATAAAGAAACCAAAACTTTAGTATTGGCGCAATATCAGGTCAACTTATGATTTCCTTTTATGACTTGTACCTCTTCAATCCAGTTTTAAACACTTATATTCCAGTTATAGATAATAACAGAAGATATATTAAACGAAGGTAACACCAATCTTGGAGTAATCAAGGTTTAAAGCTTACATATATCCGTTTTAGTTTTCATTTTCATTCAGCCTCTAAGAAATAACACGTTTTCCGACTGGATTCTTAGCCGTCACTTCAAAAGTTAAATTAACTTTGCATCTCAATCACCGATATGTGATGGAGTGTTCTGAACAAGCTCGTAGCCTTTCCATCGGCTAACGTAAGCCCATTGTTTATGATGGGTCAGCCTTGCCGCGTACAACCCGTGGTCCTATATCAGATTATTGTTATGATCTCAAGGCTATGATTATTATAGCAACCATGCATGCAGCTGGGATATTTTTCCCTTTTCAGCGAGATTAAAAAAGTTAAAAACAGAACTACGAAAACAAAGAAAATAAATGGCTGGATAGCACTGATTCATTCTTTTCACATCGATAGATTTGGTACATGTATGAAGATGATACAGCACTGAAGATATAACATATCTTTAAACTACGGATTACGATGTAATTGCCCTAAAATACAAAGGTTTTCAAATCGTGAATCCCTTTGGAACCTTGACCAAGTTTCCAACGAAATGTCTTGAATTAGGATATTATTAATCGTATATGCACTTCGATATGGTATGGACGGTTGTAATTATTACATAAGATACTTTCAATTTAGATAGTTTAAGAACTGACGCTTACATTTCTGATCATTTAAGATATTCTTCTTCGGGTAATATTTATTTGACTGTTCAAATTTAAATCATGTGAAACACGTCTGAAAATAATCATTGTAGAGTAATAATGTCGCCAAGTCCACGACCTCATCGGTCTTCAGTTGATTGCAGGCAACAGCGGAATTTAAAATTTTTTTTTTCAACTTAAAATTTGGACGTCTTCATCTATGATTCATGTTTACTTTGGCAATATTTCAAAAAACCGGTGCCTTACAAAGCTCGTTTATTATATTTATGTTTGAGAAAAGTATTGCTTTTGCAAACCCTGCACTTAGTAGAATACTAAAAATTTGCCCTTTTATCAAAAAAGTTGAGGCATCTTCGACCATTTTAGTGGTTTTCGTAGCTGCCCAAATGTTATGATCGAAGGAAAAGCGGCACAGTGATTACTTCACTGAACATGTGAAAACCTGTTCTCGAGCAAACGAGGTCGAAGGTTCGTGTTAACAATAATAGATCATCGATTGTTTTAACTGGCTCATGTGTTGACATTTTTTTTGTCAACTCAGAAAGCGGATGGCGCAGAACCTTAGTTTACAAGTAAGTTTCCGCATGCTAATCTTCTTGGTTTTGTTAAGGAGATCACCTCGAATAGACCCCATGTGATCTCTTTGAAAACACGTTAGAGCAGAAAAATGTTTATTAACAAGAGAGGCTTATCCTCTTTCGATGTTAATTACTCCGAGAATCGACGAGCTTGGGCAGACCAAATACAACAGAACTTCACTAGAACCTATGATTTACTT